ATCTTCCTATACTTATAGTATCAAATTCATAACTAACTGAATGCTAGAATGTTCAAAAACGATTGTGCAAGCGAATTTTTTTTTAACTATCGCCAAGTCAAGTGGTTTATCGCTGCCACTAAGGAGTGGTTGCCCGATTTCTTCCAGTGCATCGCAGCAAAACGCTGAGATATGGCCAAAGTCGATGCCTGACTAATGCCCCATGTGATGTGATGCCCCCGATCCCAGGGAGCTGTGTCATTTGGCCATCCCTACATACGAGTGTATGCAAATTGCATCGAGCGGAGCGGAAAAATGATAAATAAGTAAGCGTCTTGGCGACGCATGCACTTTGAGTAATCGATAAGCAATCAAATGATCGTAATTAAATAGAAGCACGCTAGCCAAAGTGAGGGAAATGCGAGGGGTTTTCCAACGATTCCGATTGGCGCTCATTCGGGGGCCTGACTATATAACGACCTATACTATAGAGTCCACATAATCCATACGTCTCGCTGAGCAAATACGCACGAGTTAAGAGCAAACAGTGGACCGGGCAAGGTCGCCATCGCATCGGCAATTTGCATGCCAAAGTTTCCCTTTTTCCTGCCGTCAATCAGGCACTCATTCAATCTTCTGTGCGACTGCAGCACCTGCCAGAAAGTGGCAGCAAATGCAACAAGCAATTAGCCAGGAATTCATCAGCACGAGGAGGGGAGCAAGTGAATTGAATAGCGGAAGCAAGGCGGAAAATCGGAAGGAAGGCAGCCAGCCACCTGACACGGGTTTTGGTTGCCCGGAAAATCGGAGTCAAGCGACTGGAAGCGGCAGGTGAAAGTGCCCAAGCAAAATACAGAGCAGGGTCGATATAATTCATGAATAAGGCAAAACTTCGTGAATGGAAGAGCAAACATACGAATAAACTTTGAAGAAAAGAATTAATAATTCGTTTAGACAACTTGACCATTAGCCATGGAATTGAATGGCCTTAGCTATTCATAACTTTCGTTTAAACTCCAAGTTACATTTATATGTGTATATGTCAATGAAAAATATTAAGGAAAGTGTTTAAAATGAATAAATGAATTATTGTAAATTGAAGACACAAAAGGAGACAATTTAGCCAATTTAGCCAAGGGTCGCGATCAAATCTGGAGTTCGAACAAATGGGTTAGAAATAGATCAGGGGTTAACCACTAACAGAGTCTCAGACGACCCATCCTTGATTTCTCAGCATACAGAACCAGAAACCAGAAACAGAGAGGGATGCTCAGCTAGTCGATGGATTGGACCAATATAAGGGTCAAAGGACGCAGGACTCGGTGGAGGAGGAGCGTGGGACGCCGGTTAACTCACCGTCATGTTGTGCTCGACCAGCTTCTCGCTGGAACATATCATATAGACGAGATAGGCGCGTATCAGCTCGCCAGTGGTCTTGCTCTTGAAGGCGGCAATCGGATCATTGAAGCTCACGTCCAGGGGATCCCTCTGCGGTGAGCCGGCGGGAGAGGGGTTCTTCTCCTGGGACGACTCCTGCTTCATCGATCGCTTCACCGTATCGCCGGCCACCAAATCCGGTTGTACCAGAGCGGAGGCCTGCAGCGGCCGTTCGCCGCTGTGCAGGAAGCGCGCCCCATTGACTCCTCTCGTGGACTCCGATGTTGCTCCTTCTCCGGCGGTGCTGGTGGTCTTGCTGCCACGCTGATGGAAACTTCTGCAGGCAGCGACGGCCACGGAATTGCTCGACTTGCTGCTATTACGGCCGTAGACCAAACCGATGGCTGTTCGTTGAATGCTCAGCGAACGGAGTAAAGCCATTACAATGGATTCTGCGGTTTATTTCTGCTTTCTGCTCTCCGGCTTCTGAGACGGATATTAAAACGCACTCCGATCTCGGTTGTTGCTGCAAAAAACAATGCAAAATCAGAGGTGAGGTAGTTTTCACTATTATCTCTGCAAATCACTATGAATCTGAGGGAAGACAGTGGCGTAGCCATGAAATCACTAAAGTTTCTTATCTCGATCCCAATTCGATAAGTGCAAGAATATTTTTAACGATATTGGAATATTTACAAATAGAATAAATAATAAATTACCACTGCAAGTTGTCGTAAATTATTGATTTTGATTTTCAGTAAGGTCAGATAAGATCGATTTAATTCTAATTGAAAGATACTCAACCAATAAAAGAATAACAAACGAAGGTATTATAAAATTAATTTTTAAGTCATAATGCCATAAGCAGGAATCAATACATTTCACATATTATTTGGAACAATTGGGCTAATAGAGTGCTTTTTGCCCCACATCCTCCCGCCTACGCCACTGATCACAGCTGATTTTGTCTGATTTACGGAGAGCTTTCCGCTCTGGGGCGCACTCTCCCTCTTTCGCTCGCTCCGCATGTTATACAACAAATGCGTAAAACGTGAGGTGGAGAGGGAAAGAGAGCGGAAGAACGGCGAAGCCGAAAAAACAGCACAAGGCAAACACACACGTACTCGAGTACACCGTCGAAATGTTCAATTAAAAAATCAAATTTCTGGCCTGAGATATACCTTTCGCTATTATGTGTCTTTTCGGTTTCTTTCTTACTTCGTTTTTATTATTTATTCTATTACGCTTTGAGCGTTGTATACGCCGCAAAAGCACGAAACCAAATGCGACGAAGACGCCTGAAAATGGGGCGAATTGTTAGGTGAATGTCGGCGAATTCAACGAAGCGAAACGAGGAAGGACCCGAAGGCGAAAAAATCCTTTTCGCCGCTTCGCTCCCGTTTATGTAACTGTAAATGTAACCGAGATTGTACCGTAATTGTAACTGAGACTGTGTGACGTCACAGGCATGCGAGCCCTTTTGATTTTGATTTTGATTTGGCATTTGTTTTGATTTAATTGAATGCGCCGCAAGCATACACTAATTGGTGTTAATTGCGGCTCTCCTTGATTCTCCCCCATCGTCGTTCTCTATTTTCCACCCATTAACCCCCTTTACCGTTTTCATTTTATTTATTAATTAGCAGCCCGCTAAATAATCGCCAGACGAGAGGCTGCAATCAAATCGAAAAAAACTTGGCGGGTTTCATTGCACAGATTTCATTACACTTCATTATGGTCAATATCAAGTTCTGTCTCGCTCTGGCCGCCTTGGTTAATGGGAGGCGGGGAGCTAGCGTACTTAAATTGCGAATTCATCAGAATGTTGTTTCTTTTTTGTTTGTTCTTTTTTTTGTTGCTATGCAGCGAATTGTACCTATTATATAACACTGCTTACTGCTCTCTGCCTCTCTTTGTAGAGATCCTTTTATGATACGAATACAACACACACACTCACATGTACACTGCAAAATTTCGCTTGACTTTCCCTAAATTTTTTCCCTTGCTTTGCGGTTTTCCTCTATTTTCTCGATTTAAATTTTGCTTCAACGGTTGTTTTGTCACTTAAAAAAAAACAAACTACGATACATAACTAGCAACCACCCAAAAACCACAAAAGGGTAAACAATTATTAAAATTGTTTGTTGAAAATTTTGTACAATCGCCAAACAGCTTTCCGGAAAAACTCTTGTTTGTTTGACAAACTTCTCACAGCAGCCTGCGAGGTAAGTAGAAAAGATCCTGTTTCTGACAGTGCATTTCCTCACCTCACAAAATAAACAAGCAGAATTATAATAATTTTTCGGTTTTTTCGAGTCTATGTTGTTCTTCGAGGTTTTTGGTTTTTGCTGCTGCTGCGCGGGAGAGCGTGAGCACGCGCGAGAGGGAGAGAGAACGACTGCAAGGGTCTGAATTCGCGAACAAACTGAAACAGATAAAGCGAAATTAAGGCCAACACGGCGAAAGCTCGTCCAAAAAAGCTTGTGAGAAATGGTCAAAACGATTGACGGACAGGAAGGTGAGGGGCAGAAAGCATCTTGGGTAGAGAGCGGGCGTGGTGGGCCACCCCCAGCAGCTGTTGGCGCTGCACGTGAGGAAAAAAACGAAATCCAATCGAGAGTTAATCGCCATTTTGTCCCCTCTTACTGCCCAATTAAAATCGGTACGCTTATCTACGCCCCTGGCGGTTGGCCAGGAATCGTTTGTGCTCTTATCTTATCAATGGGCCTTCCCACCGCCCCCAACTAACCGTTCCTTCTTCCATTCCTCTCTCCTTTCTCTTGCTCTCTCTCTCTATATCACTTTCAGGCGACCACTCGTTTTGCCAACCGGCTAAATGCCGAGCTTTGCCAGCGTCTTGCAACACTGGCATGGCAACAGGGTTGCTTTACACACAGAGAATTGGAGAAATTTATCGATAAGCGCTATCAAATTTAAAATTTGGCTTCATAAATGCACAGGAAACTGAATGTGAAAATATTTTAGAAATCTAGCCTTTATTACTTACATTAAGAGAGCATCAATCAGATAATTCCAGTATTTTTGCGAATTCGGGTATTCGAACTCATGCATGTGGTCGCACCATTTTTCCTATATATGTATGTACACATGCTGTGTAAGAATTAGATTTTTCTTTACTATATGGTCAGAAGGTTTTAGCCCACCCACTGCTTCTTTTTTAAATCAAAATATTGCTCCTATGTATGAACATATATGTATATTCATACATATATACACATATATGTACATATGTTGTGAGTATAAGTAAATAAACACAAAATAACCACTTGAACCACAAAAATAGTTTAGGGATATTTTTAAGGATTTCTTCAGCAAACAGCGAATTTTCATCGTATTAAACCGATTCGCATTCAGCAATGTGGTTGATCTTTAAAACTCTTTCAAAATAGACAAGGAAGGGTATAAAAGTAAAAAAAAAACTATATATGGCATCAAGGACATCAGCATATATGCACATGTATGAAGTAAACTACAAACGGTGCACACTCAATAATATTTATATATACATATATATATTGAGTATATATATATATGTATATGTACATATATAGTACTTACTATCTTGGAATTCATAATTAAATATTGCAATATTGGCTCTTCAAATGAAAATTCCCATGTTTCCACTTTAAAATGAATATATTTTTGGTTGCAAATTGTTTGCGTTTTGACAAATATAGCAATAAGTTACGACTATATATTTGAAATAATAAAAATTAACATTTAATGAACGTTCGCTGCTGTTGATTTTGCTGCTTATACGAACGCGGCCCGAAAAAGGAGAAACTTAACAAGAAAAAAACAGAACAAGTTATCTAAATACCAAATATATAGATATATGCGTGTGAAACTGACGCGGATCTCCTCCTACCGCCGTCATAACAAACAATACATAATTCGCTATCGCCGCGACTCTCTTTTCGTATTCTCTTCTGCTGGCTTGCATTTTTTTTGTAATTACATAATATTATTGACTAAATTGTAGATCAACGAATGTCTGTTTTTCCATCTCCATAAGGCACTACCAGCAAATAGCTTTCAAGATTGTAAGTATCGAAAAGGGGTGCTCAACTTAACCGCAAGACTATCATAAAGGCGACAAATGAGGAGATACATTTAGTTTAGTTTTCGATTGATAATATGAATAAGAACTGAATATTTCGAATATGTGTGCACATAAGCCGAAAATCATGTTAAAACCCATGTATGTATAAATTGAATATAAAGTATTATTCCTCAGCTCTGACGTAATGGATGATATGAATAACTGTTTTCTTCCTTAAAAACTATATAATATGGTAAACAGGAAATAGTTGAAATATCTAAACAGAATTTCAAATTATAAGATTATGATATATGTGAATATATCTTTTAGAAGTTATGACAATCTTGCAGTTCCCTATTTTAATTTGGGCTAACTATTTGGTGGTAATGCTGGACAGCCAGTGGAGCTGCTGATGTTAGTGGTGTTTCAGGCGCTAGTTGGACTTGGTCAGCTCAGTGCGGTTGGCGGCCACTTCGGCCAGAATGAGTAGATCTGAGGTAGAGGAGGTCACGTCGAAGGCCGCCTGCGAGGAGAGCGACGAGGATGACGACGAGGAGTTCGAAGACAGCGGTGGCGAGGCCGACGACGAGGTTACAGAGGCATTCACCGCCTTGGGAGTACCGCTCTGGTTGAAGTAGTAGCTGCCATTAATGGTCAGAGGCAGAATTGAGGCCACCTCCTGTTCAATGGCACTGACATCGCGCCGAGTGATACTTTCTTTGCGCGCCTTTCGTCGCTGGCTACCCACGGCCTGCAGTTGCTGCTGCTGCTGCTTGATCCTCACCAGGTGCTCGTTAGTTGCTGGGACTGCTCCTTTTGCCGTAGCATCTACTGCTGTTGCATTCGAAGCTGCTGATGCACCACTTGTGCTGTTTGAATTCCTCTGTTTCTTGGTGCCGCTAAACTTCTTCTTCTTTTTGGTGCTACGTTTGCGCTGCAGGTAAGCGTCCAAGCTGAGGGCCGGCAGCTCTTTGATTTTCTCCTCGAGATCAAAGAAACCACTGCTGCTTGACTCGGAAACGCTCCTCATATGTTTTTGCATGGAATCCGGACTTGTACCCTGGCGTTCCGGTGGCGAAACGGGCGGTGTATTGGGGCCCGCATCTAACGGGATGTCCACAAAGTTTCCACCCATACCTCCGGCCGGCGGCGAGCGAGCCTTGCTCTTTTTAGCTATGGCCGCCAATTGACCGGAGTTGACCAATTCCTGATAAATCTTGCCCTTGCAGGAGCGTGATGACTTGACCTTCTTATTGGGCGAGCTACCACTGGCCGCCTCCTCCTCGCTGGAGTTGCTCGAGTTGCTGTCCTGCAAGGAGCGCTTATTGCCATTCCCATCGGAATTGCCACCTGGCATGTGGGCAGATAGAAACTGACTTGTCTCGCTAAGCACCTGCTGCAGGGCGAAGTCCTTTTCTTGTACTTGAACTTGCAGTAGGGAGCTTAGCTCGCCCATCTGCGTTTCGTCTGCCAGTTTAAAGTAGTTGGGGCGCAGCATAGCACGAGGCATCTCCCCTCGCTCTGCCCACTGCATTTGCAGGGAAGTCGGCACCTGTTGCTGCGGCTGATCTTCGTTGGGGATGAGCAAAGCAGCAGCCGCGTTGCTGGGACGGGTAGCCAGTGTTCGCAGCGGCGGAGCTGGCAGTTTGTACCACTTGAAGTTTGGATTAGCATTGAAGAAGGCGTCTTTGTTCTACAAAAGAAAATCAATTCAATTCAATAAAACTCTTTGAACACAACGCACTACAGGCTTGTTCAGCAAAAGTAAAGTATTTGCACGGGTAATGATGGTATGGCTATGATCCTCACCTGCTGTGCCAGATCTGTGAAGCAGTGTTTCTCCTGCTCGTCGAGAGCGGCCCACCAGTCGCCCAGTATCTTCGTAATGGCACTAAAATAGGAAAACAGCGACAGTAATTTTCCCGCAACCCAAATGGGTGCAGCTGGCAAAAACCCACCGGTTCTCCAAGGTTTTGTAACGCTCCTTGACGATACCGCGGTGTCTCTTGCAGAATATGAGGAAGGCATTCATGGGGCGGCGGGCATGATGCTCCGGTCGTGTGGTATCAGCTGCCTGATCCTGCTGAAGCTGTCGCGGCTCTACTTGATGGCTATCTTGATCCTGCTCCGGCTGCGGCACTGTGACCACGTCCACGTCCACATGTTCTTCGGCGGCCTCGCGACGAATGCGCGTGACCTCCTGCTGCACAGGCAACTGCACTTGGATCTCCGCCTCCTCCTCTTCCTCATCATCCTCCTCCTCCTCATCGAGATCTTCCTCTTCGTCGTCCTCGTCGTCGGTGTCGCTGCTGCAGTCCTGCAACTTGGCATAGTTGTGCACATCCTCGATGCGCCGAAAGGCATTTTCTTGGTCTTCGGTGCGCTGAGGCTGGGGGTCAGCTAAGGCACTTTTGGCTGCATTTTCAGGTGATCCGTGTGCTTCCCTTTCCAATGTTTTAGCTTCTGCGTTCGATGGCTTATCTTTGGTCCTGGGCATTGGCATCCAGCGGAGTTCGCCTGCTCCCATTTGGGATACCATTTTTGCAGCAGCTGTCAGGAAATCTCCCGATCTTTGGGAAAGTTCTCTGGATATCAAGAAATCCCTGGACAAGCCTGAAACATAGGATGCCGTTGCCGGAGAAAATCCCACAAGGCTTCCTGCTCCTTGGTTGGCGTTTGTGGCGGCGATTACTCCACTTGCTCCTGGTATCTTCTCAACTATTTTCAGCGCTCTGCCCGCGTAGTGCTTGTTGTTGCTCATTTTTGGCTCCGCTGTTTTAAGGTTATTGTAGTTGTTTTTGTTGCTGCTGCTGTTGTTGTTGCTGTTGTTGTAGGCAAAGTGCAATTTAATTGCAGCACCTGTTGGCGTCACCTGCGCCACCTGCTGACCACCGCCAACGCTCAGGCCGTTGATCATGTTCCTAGCTTTCGTTTTCCACCTATTTGTCTAGTCCCGATCCTCGAACATATTACGCTGCAAGTATGGAACAATTTAAGTGCTTTTTAGTGGGTGAATTTCACAAATGCAAGAAAACGGCGCTGCCAGTGTGGCTGGAAAATAAAAAACTAATTGGCAGCTCTGGATTTTGCGATATTGAGTTGTTTACAAATTTCCAGAGAAAGAGAGCGAGCGAGATAGATCAGCTGTGCGTGTGTGTTTGTGCGTGCTGTGACGCCTTTTCTCTTTCTCTTTTTTTCTCACACAAAATTTCCTTAAACAAAAATAAAAACTCAACGCACACAAACAAAGCGATTTTTTCATTGTTATGAAATTTATGCGAATCCCATACGCATACATAAAAACTAATACAAAAAAGAAAACAGTCTATGAACAAATAAGCATTTAAATATTTGCTAAAAAAAAATAAATAAAGCAACTGCAAAATGCAACGCACTAAAAAAAAAGTTACGGTTACTTATTGACTTGCAAAATTTTACAACACTGCTTCTGAAGGTTAACAACAACAGGAACATAACAAAAAATTTGATTATTATGATCAATTGGATAAGCCTAATATGATTACAAACCTTTCCCCAATAATGTGTAGAAATTTTTGCACGATTTTTTAGATAATTAAAGCTAGTATTGAAGCACAGACAAAATTCACTCGCTTTCTTTAGTGCTTAGTTTAATAACAAGTAACATTATCTGTGCGTTTTGTGCATAAGATACGTTTTACTTCCAATACTGAATGCAAAGTTTAATAATAGTTTTTAATATCGATAAATACTTGTTTTTTGTTCTGCTATTGCACAATTATGTGACAAACAAAACACACAAATAAAGAAATGGAAAAAGGAAAACAAAAAAACGAAAACAGGCTACGTGTACAGCTGAGCGTTGGCTTGTATGTGTTTGTGTGTGTGTGCGAGCGGGAGAGCGCTTGAGAAGAGAGCGAGTGCGTTGGCTTCTCTCTTTTTCGCAAAGTTCGCTTTGAACTTGATTAACGCATTGTTGTTGCTGTTCTGTTCTTGTTGCTTTGTTATTCTACTTATTTGTTTGTGCGAGCAACGCACTGCCTTTGTTGTTATTGTGGACATTTTTGGAGGGAAAGAGAGGGGAAGAGGATCGTGGTACCAGCGTTGCCACCTGGCAAAGTAAAATGCAGCTGTCAGCTGTTGGTTACCGTTGCCCATCTCTTTCCATCTCGTTCACTCTCACACACACAGATGCACACGGTCAAGGCCAAGTTTTAAAAGGGGCGTTCGGCGGTGGGAGGGACAGGTCTGTTCATAACCTTCAAACGTTTAGTTCTAGTTTTTTAGGTTAGGTTCTCTATTTGACTTTAACATAATAAAAAAAATATAAAAAAATAAAAACAAAATATAAAAGCAGCACAAACACATTGAGTTCGCCCGCATATAAAGCTCACACACTCTCACACACACACCAACAAAGAACAGCTGATGACGTTTGATATTTTTTGCGCGTCGCTTAGTTTTTAGGGTATTTTCGCATAAAGCAATAATGCTAAATGAAAAGTGTTTTTTATTGCCTTGTCGTAAATAAAAGTTTGTTCAAATCGCGCTTTACTTGAATGAAACTATTGCCTCGAACCGAAGACTCTGCTCTCGTTTAATTAAATTTCAATGTTGATGATGTCAAATGAGAATGAAAACTGACTGTGTTTTCTGTTTTTGTGTTTTTGTGCGGCGGCCAGAAGCAGCAACGTCGGCAGCAAAGACGACGATGTGGAGACGTCAACTCGCACTGTGGGCCTGATTGCAAAATTTCCTTCAAGTTGAACAAATTAGTGTAATGCCAATGTGTAATGTGTAATGTTCCAACGTTTTGAAATTTGGGTGCGCTGTGTGTTTATTTAAATATTAAACATTTGTATAACTTTTTTATATAATAAATAATTCTCGAAAGTTTCTGTGAACCCCTAGTTCAGTTTTTACTGGCATTAACTTGACTGCGAAATTGAGTGGAGCCCCCAATTGGCCCCACTGTGCGTGGCGTCGCTGCTGACGTTTAATTGCGCTCAGCAGCAACAACAACACAAGAGCGAAATGTATTTTATTTTACTTTTTCTTTCTGCAGGCGCCCCCTGTACGTGTGAGTGTATGTGAGCTCCCCATATCCGCAGCGCATCCGTATTCACACATACACACTTGGTAGCCTCTCTCCAAAAACAATAACAAAGTAACCGTTTGACGAGTGGGACGGAAGAGTGCAGCCATCTCTGTTGCACCTGCTGCACTCGCTCAGCTGTTTTGGCTTTGTTCTTGTTGTCACGGGGAGAGTCGCACAGAGTACAGTTCATTTCTTGAAAGGGGATTTGAAAAAACGTAAGTTTTGAGAATCCATGAATCTGCACATTGTTGCAATAAAATTAAGAAACCTTAATAAAAGTATTGGGAAACATTTTCGAAAACTTTCAAAAATGATTCAAAATGCATAAGATAATAAAGTAACTATTTTTCAATTTTCTAATTAAAAGCAACGAATTGTATTACCCTGAAATGGGTATGATGCACAAAAAGTGGTTTGAATCTGTAAATTAAAAAAGTCGTTCTCAGCCTGGGTGAATTATTCTACCCTCTTCGACTTTTTTTGCAACAAGTTGATCCACAAATTTCACTATTAGTGACTGTGTGCGTATTCTACATATGTGCAATCTATATACATGGAAATACACCCACCCCCACCCCTCTTCCTTGCCCAAACGAAACCTATTGCCGTGCTTTTTTATTGCATAACCGCATTTAACAGTTTTGCTCGAACGGTTGCCGATTCGGTTTGTTTGCAATTTGCATTTTTGCCCAAGCCAGGGGCAACAACAATGTTATTGTTTTTCAAGGTCACACACACACATGCAGAGCGAAATAAACGGCAAAACAACAACCCATCCACCGCCACCCCCTGCAATTCACCACCCACCCCACACTCGACGGTTCAGGTTTGGAGGTTCACTTCAGTTCACTCGTCTCTCATTTTTCGGCTGTGAGAGCGACACAAGCGACCCAACGAACTGGCTATCTCACACACACAGTCCGCCGAATACCATCTGCTCTCGATACAGTGAACCAATGGTTGACCAACTGAGTATTTGATTATAAGTTGTAACTTTCGTCTTTTTGCACAAAATAAATGTTTCAAAAATATTCAAATAATCATTTCTTTCACATGTTAAAATTAATTAGACTCAAAAGCTTTTATATAAAAACGAGTATTAGTGAAATTAAAGTACTAGACTTGAAATTGAAATTCAATTGAATTGAAAAATAATTTGACTGCTTAAACATATTTTAAAACGGACGGTTCACTACTTTGGGCGTGCACTGTATTTACGTATGATTTTGGGGCGGCTGGTGATACCGTTATGCACTATTTCTAGCTCTCTCACTCTCTCTCTTCTCTCCCTACTTGTGACTGTTGTCTGTGAGTTTGGTTGCATGTTGCTTGGTGGCAGTTTTCAGGGTCAGGGAAATTCGATTTTTGTGTCCGACTGTCTCCGGCTCTTCTTCTTCCCTGTGGTTTTCCTTCTGCGGGCGACCCACTAACACAACAACAATATGGTCAAGGCCAAACTAAATGAGGGAAACCCCTGTTGGAAATGCTAATAGGTAAGAAACCTAAATAACCTTTCTTCTTCAATAGAAATATGTTGTATTCATCAGTAGCGAATTACTAAAAATAATGATGCAGAAATCATTAAAGATTGTGCTAAACTTTAAATACTCATTATTTTTTTCGAAACTGAAAGGATTTGAAATTTCCTTTTCGAACATGATTTTGTGAAAACTTATTAATGACTCAAGTGTACTGGTTACTAAGAAAGGAAGATTGCCGAGTACCGAAGAACCGACGTAATAGCTTTAGAGATTTCATTATTCATTACTGTTTAATACACCAATACGAATCACGTTCAAAACTAAACTTGATTTGCGTGAACGTCACTAAAATGTGTACATATGTATGTTTACTCCGATGTTTCGAGATCGTATAATCCTGACGAACAAACAGCGATGACTCGGCTCGGATGGGGATTTTGATCAAGATCTTTGACCGGGTATATATATGTATTATCGTTATGACAATTTATTCACATAAATAAATAACTATTTAATAAGAATTGGCTGCGATGTCAAAGCAGTGGGCTATGAAAAACCAATAACCACTTCGAAAACTAGTAAAAAATTAGTAATGCTCTGCACTATCGCACTTTTCAGTTTGATTTGTGCTAGTTTTAGTCTAGCTCTAATGTTAATGAACTTTAAAAAGGGGCTTTCTGCAACCGCGCCCAATTCCGCGGGTATATTATCATAAGACGGAATTATTATTCTATTTACAGCCAAGAGCCAATGATAAGACGTATCGCACAAACCGCGGAAACTGGAAAGGAAAATGGGGGCGGGTGAAGGGTGCATAAGGGTGATAAGCGACAGCCCCACCCTGAAGTATTTTTTAAACGATGCTAAATATTTAGGTTTGAATTCAAACGAATTGGGGAAGGAAACATCAAAATGATTAAAGCCATCAATTGATTAAGAAATAGTTATATCTAGCTTTATATTTTATAAAATGACAACAGTCACTCACCTAAATTGGTCACAAACAGCTTCGATAAGTGATGTTCTGGTCGGGATTGATCCTACCGCTTGAGCACATTGATGAAGGTCTCGTGCGGCACGCGGATGTTGGCGAACATGCGCATCTTCTTCTTGCCCTCGGCCTGCTGCTTGAGCAGCTTCATCCGCCGGGTGACATCCCCTCCGTAGAGCTTGGCTGTCACATCCTTGCGATACGCCTTGATGGTCTCGCGCGCGAGCACTTTGCTGCCCACGCATGCCTGGATAGCGATCTGTATCATCTGTTTCGGAATAAGCTCCCGCAACTTCAGAACCATCTGCCGAGCCACGCCCGTTGCCTTAGACACATGGACAATGCGGCACAGCTCCTCCACGGGCTTGCCGTTCAGATGGATGTCCAAACGAACCAAGTGCGAAGGATGATAGCCGTGGTCTTCGTAGCTGAAACTAGCGTAGCCAGAGCTCAATGACTTGAGACGGTCGTGGAAGTCCAGGATGATCTCGCTTAACGGCAAGACGTACTTCATTAGCACACGGGTCTCGTCGATGTTCACCGAACTCTGCTGCAATCCCCGTCGCTCCACACACAGGCTGATCACCTGTCCAACATACTCCGTGGGCGTGATGATGGTGCCCAAAACCAGGGGTTCATAGTACTCCTTGATGGAATACGGTTCCGGGAAGAGGGCTGCGTTGGAAATATCCATGGTATCGCGACCCTGTTGCCTGATCATCTTTGGATTACTCAATACCAAACGATATGTGACGGAGGGCGCTGTGATTATGGGCTCGGCACCATGCTCCTGCTCCAGACGCTGGCAGAAGACCTCCATGTGCAGAAGTCCTAGAAAGCCCAAACGCCAGCCTTGTCCCAAAGCCGGGCTGGAATCTACTTTTACAGTGACCGCTGAGTCATTGAGTACCATTTTATCGATGGCACTGCGCAAGGCGACATGTTTTGACTGATCGGCGGGAAAAACTCCCGCAAAAACAAGCGGCTGTTGCGGACGATAGCTACCTGCGGCGGGGACTGATTGATTCTTCAGGTGGATGGTGTCGCCCACAATGGACTCCTTGCTGTTTCGCATATTGCAAGCAATCAAACCCACTTGACCAGCGGATAGATCCGGAACAGGACACTCGGCTGGTCGCAACACAGAGATGCTTTTTACGGGATACACCTTCTTGGTGGCCAGCGACTGAATGTCCTGGTTCTGCTCTAGCTTGCCATTCAGCACATAAATTAGATTAAGGGCTCCGCGATACTTGTCGAACCAGCTGTCAAAGATTAGGGCCCGGAAGTCGCTGTCCCGTTGAACTTGTGGGGGCGGCACTGTTTCTATTACCCTTTCTAAGACTTCAGATACGCCGGTGCCCAGCTTGGCGGACACGCGCAGCACCTGATCAGGATCTATGCCGAACAACAGCTTTAGATCCTGGCAGACTTGATCAGGGTTTGCGTGCTTGATGTCTATCTTGTTGAGCACGGGGACCACTGCCAGCTGCCGTTGCTTGGCTAGGTGATAGTTGGCCACGGTTTGAGCCTGAACACCGTGACATGCGTCCACCAGGAGTACCACACCATCGCAGGCAGCCAGAGATCGGGAAACCTGTGTAATGCGCAATGATTAGCAAAATAATTAGCTGACTTTTGACCTGAAACCCACTTCATTGGAGAAATCGACGTGACCAGGAGTGTCAATAAGGTTGAGCAGATAAAGCTGTCCCCTGTGACGGTGGAAGATCGATGCGGTCTGGGCCTTGACCGTGATCCCGCGCTCCCGCTCCACTTGCAGGCTGTCCAGCACCTGATGCTGCCCGGCATTCCGTGCAATGGCTCCCGTGAGCTCTAGCAGCCGGTCAGCCAATGTGCTCTTGCCGTGATCCACATGCGCAATGATGCTAAAGTTCCGGATGCGCTCCACCGGCATGCGGGCAAATTCGCGCAACAGCTCCGCCTGCGAGGGCTCCACCACTTTGGCCAGGGACTCCTCCGTTTCGGCCTTGACCTGATTGGTGGTGCTCAGGCTGCGGGCGAAGAAGCTCCTTGAGCTGCCCACCAGCCAGGCGGAGGGCCGGTTGTCCCCAATACGCTGCTGCAGCCAGCGGATAGAAATCGTCCGGATCATGGCTGAATTTACATTTCTTTGCCGGCAAAAAAGTTGTTACCGCACACCATGTGCGCCGTGTGACCGTATGACGAATAAATACCAAGTAGACGAAAAAGCTGAAAAATACTGGCGAACAGCGACATCTGTTGGTAATCTGCGAAACGAGGGGTTTAGACATAAAAAAAAATATAAACAACTTAAAATATTGTCCTACTAATTTGTTTTTGATCCAAATTAAAAAATATGTTTTAAAAAGTAAAATAAACTAAAGTAGTGAGCAATTTATCATACATTTGGCGGACTCAACTAGTTTATTTTTCAAGACGTATTCCACATCGTATCCTTCACTAACCAATCTAATGATTCTCTCACCAAGAAATCAAACTTCCATCCAATCAGTGGGGAAAGGTCATGATCTAAAACTCCATACCAGCACCCCGACCCTTGACATATGACATAGGAGAACCACGTCTCGCAATGGTATCTAGAAATGCTAAATGCCCATCATAATAGTCTAGCAAGTGAGCTGGGAACTGCTGCTAAGTTCAATAGTTCAAAGAACCGGGAAAAAATCCATATTTCTTTCTCGCCTTAAGGATTAGCAAAAGGACATAGTGTCATTCATGGGGGCTTGGAAAGAGTAGTCTTGATATCACCATCTACAAAGACTGTTCAAGATTGTGCTACTGCAAGTGTATCTGATTTCCTGAAAGATCGAAATCATTAGAAGAAAATGCACAAGACGGGATGTTTTACAAATTGTATAAAAAGCATGTTTATGTATTCATAGAGGATTATATTGGGTTAAAAAAGTCTTCATATACATAATAAAAGAGATTTCACATTTTGGTTTTTGTTTCATCCGTTAAAGGAGTGCACTTTTAAGCGAGCAGCCTGCCAAACCGAGTTTCTGCAACTAGCCATGGGATCCCGGGGCCGCCTAGGAAGGGATCACTGTTTATTCAATCAGATCGTGCTTAGGAATCGGGCGGCACTGGGGGATAGAGTCATGGTGGTCGATGAAGATCGGAAGGACAGGCTGCTACGCACATATAGTATAACCTAAATAAATTGCTCGCTTTGAGACTGCACAGAGGGTAAGGTAAACAGACAAAAATGAATCAACATACAATATAAATCGGATTGGATTCGCTTAGCCTAGATGCATAGTACAATAATAATCCATTGTTAATCGCGTCTAAATACATAGTAGGAATACAGATGTTTTCGTGTGTGTTTCGTGATAGGAGTGATATGAGTTCGCTGATGGTTGGTTTTCTTTTTCTTTTTGTTTTGTTTTTTGTTTTTTTGATGGAACAATTGCATTGCAGGCGTTTGCATACGCGGCAGGTGTAAGATAAAGTTGGCGGTGTGTATAAATGTATATGGTTTGTATACCTAGATACTACGAATATATATATGGAGAATGCGAAATTAATACAGAATACTTAGCGCCCGTCGTTTCACAATTGAGAGTATAATTAAAGCGCGATCGCAACCAAAATCTGCGTACAAAATATATGTTGTGTATATGTATATATACGACCTGTGTGTATAACTATAGATTGCCGCCTCCGCTGAGCGCGTATATAAAAAATATACCCGCCTGCTCATTGCTGGGCCTGCATGCGCGCCTGCATCTGGGCGAGCATCTCCTGCATGCGCCGCAGCTCGGCCTCCTTCTCCTGCAGGATGCGGTCCTTTTCGCCGAGCACGCTGTTCGACACCACCTGCGAGCTGCTGTCCCGCTCGGCCTTCACGCCGTTCTCCTTGCCCTTGATGCCCTTGGCGAGGCGGTCGGAGCGGTAGTTCTCGTAGTGCACCTCCTGCGTCACCTCCTGCAGGTCCTGCATGTGGGTGCTGTGGCGCAGCAGGGAATAGGTGGTTAGTCAATAAGCAATCAGATATTCGGCAATTTGTTTGCACTTACATGAGCATGGTGCGCAGCTTGATGAAGTCACAGTGATCGGGGTTCTCCACCTCGACCACGCCCCATGGATACAGACGACCGCGCACTTTCTTGCCCTTGACCTCGAGCAGTGTGTTGGCGCCGCAGACGGCGAAAGGCACAGCTTCCTTCAGTTGCTTCACCTGCTCCTTGTAGTCCTCATCCTCGTCGGAATCACAGTCTGGCAGTGGGTAGATCTTGATGCCGTGGCTCTCGATCTCCTGCATAATGCGGCACTTCAGGCGCAGAATCTCCTTCTTTGTGAGGCAATCTGCCTTGGCGATCACGGGCACAATGTTAACTTTGGAGTGCAGCTTCTTCATGAACTCTACGTCGAGGGGTTTTAGCCTGGGTAACAAATTGATGTATTCATTTAGATACTTTCTATTATACAGTCTATGCAGGCTAATATTGACAACAAATAATAAACAAATATCGAATATCAAATATTCAAAAATTAAAAATGATCTCTGCTTTTACATGCGCAATACGAAAAGGTAAACAGAAGTGGTACGCACCCATGACCGAAGGGCGATATAAAGTAGAAACAGCAATGAATGCGATTGTCCACAATGTTGCGTCTGTTGAGGCCACTTTCGTCGCGCAGGAAGCGCTCGTATTGCTCATCAATGTACTCGAGTATGGCGCCAAAGCTGTTGGAGTTGTCGATGGCATCGCCGAATCCGGGTGTGTCCACCACCGTCAGTCTCAGCTTGACGCCGCGTTCCTCGATTTCCACCGTCGATGCCTCCAGCTTTACGGTCTGTTTTTGTTTCTCTGTAAGAGGTGAATGGTTCCCTGGATGAGTAATCAAAGCGAACACTGAATAAAGAGACCGTGCCCACCTATGGCATCCGGAATGATGCGCTCGGGATAGAGATCCGTGAGAAAGAGACTGTTGACCAGCGTGGACTTGCCCAGTCCAGACTCGCCCACCACCATTAGGGTGAACTCAAATCCCTTCTTCACGGACTTTCGATGCACCTGGTTGGGCAGGTTGGCGAAGCCCACGTAGCCGGGCGTCTCGATGCTGGAAAACTGCACGAAAATAATTGAATCATTAGTGATTAGCCAAAAGTCGTCAACGAGATAAGTAAATGAATATGAATATGATTATGAATACAATTTTAAAAACCTTCTGTCAGTTTACCAGGTAGGTAATTTTGTTAGTTTTATAATAGGTTTTCGAACTAATATGTGGAGTATACTATCGGAAAACCAAGCATTAGTCATTAGTCAGCTCTTTATCAAAACTAGCACTGGAAGGGACTGTAGGCGAAAGCAAATGTTGACTTTGTTGTAGTCATCTTTAAAGTTAATTTGTATGTGAATGGTATAAACATAACTAAGTGCATTGTGTTATATATGCGAAAATTTTAAATTGCGTTTTAAGTAGGTCAGCCTATGCTGATTATGCTATTAAGCCCGCAATGCAGGCTGACGATAAATCATAATAATATTGTATTGCATTGTAAATTGTAATATTGGCATATCTGCGATCGATAAATTTATCTACGAATTAATGGGAACAATGTTTCAAGATAGGGAAAACTTGCATGTTGTGAAGTGAAAATAGGCGTGGTGATGGAAGTTCTTAGAGTTAGGAACCCAACGTTAAGGAATGCACCTTAACAAAAGGTGGTTGAAGGATATGACCTCAAAATCTTGTATATTTTATCTTGCTAAGTATCTCATCTATCCCATTAACTCGTAACCATTCGATTGGGGTGTCTGGCTAGTGTCTGCTAAGTTAGAGTTTTGGGTCTTAGAAAGCGATGGCTTGGCTTGATTTGCATGCTTATCACGCGCGGATCAGATTTCTCTTGGACGCCCAAAACAATGGGCACGCCGCCACCTATTTCTCCGGCGCAGAAAGCGTTGACATGTGGGTCACAGGCGCCCAAAGGAGCGAAGCAGAGCGTGGGCGGCAGAGATCCCGGTAACAAAGGAACAACGCCGACGCCACCGGCATGTTGTGAATCACTTGACTTGCACTTCCACCTCCACTCCCGCTCAGCGAGTCCCTTTCCCTCCCAGTGGAGGAGGAGGAGGAGGAGGAGCGTCTGATGAACGGGCGAGGAGGGATGAGCGGCAAACAAATCAACAGCAGCGCCGCATTCGACATCGTCGGCATCCGATGCACACGCAATTTAACAATCAGGAGTGGAATCTAAATGGGATTTGGGCGCTGGCGGCACACCACGCGCATTTTCGGCGGATCGGGTTCATGCGGACTGGCCATTGGCACTTGGACGAATAAACAGCGGCTACTCACGCCCTTTGTATCGGCCATTTTAAAAAAAAACACGAAACGAACGAAGAAATCAACGTAATGACGAACAAAATAGCAGGGCAACTAGTGTGACCGCAGCGCGCAACTGGCGGAACCTGCCGCCAGTGGGACCAGCTCGGCGGCACAGAAAAATACCACAAACGCATCCGCGATCAAGACTCAAGCTGGTATTTAATTGAAACATTTCGTTGAGCGTAAAATACCACTTTCAATTAAATCGGTTATTAAACTACTGGAAGTGGCGCTCTTGTTTTAATCGGTTCAGATTTCATTTGTATAATTGGAAATTAACCAATTTAAGGCTTTTAAGCCTGGGTTATTATAACGTATGTAGATACATTGTCGACAATCCCCTGGCGCCATCTATATGGCAATGCATATTTCTTAAGAATTGATTCCAAAAATCGGAATTTTAAAAATCCACATTTGAAATTGCTCAAACATTCGTGGCTTTTATAACTTGTAGTCTTTATTTTTAAAACAATACACATATTAATATTGGATGCACTTAAATTCACAATACATATCTATATAATCCATAATCATAGGCGCTCCAATCAAAACATATATCATTTGATCTCGAGGGAATCGAGCCGAGGCCTTAGGACTCCGGACTGGGGCATTTGGGCTCTGCCGTATTCCAACCAATCTGCTCCCATTTTCAGATACGCCTTAGTACATAAACACATATATCATATCTGCACGGCTCTATACACATATATATGAATTGTTCTGCTTGTTGATTGGTTTTAACTTTTGGTTTTTCGCTGTGATGTGATTCGTTAACAAAACATCGACTAGAGTACGGGTAGAATTGAGAGGAGACGCATGCAAATCAGGATACGTACAAGGACAGATCGCGATCGAACATCG